AGGGTATATTTGAAATCTACACATATGACTTTTGGAAAGCCGTCTATAGAAATTTTTCCCATAACTCCTTCCGTAGGGTAGATAATTAGCATTTAATTTTGCCATTTTTAGACAAGGGTGCATTGCAATGAGTGCCACACCCAGACCCCAATACCGACAAAGCCCAAATTTTACGTGGAACGAGTTGAGATTATAGGTGACCTAAATCCATGAGATGGGTACGGGGGCCCTTACCGTCTAGGAGGAGAAGCGGTAACGGTAGCCGTCCGGCGGAGCCGGCGGAGCCGGCGGAGCCAACGGAGCCGGCGGAACGATCCGGACGGGACCGAAACCATGTGTACCGCCAGCGCTAACGCTGGTGGTACAATAACCTTACTGTGTTAGTTGTGCCTTCAGCAGAGCTTAATTATTCAAATGTGGTACATGTGACTTAAATTGTGCTAATACAGCTAAGTGCTCTCCTTTTTATCTATGTATACGTTTTACTTAACATTTCATTTTGCATTATAATATATAACTCCCTTACCAAGTATCAGTCCTAGGAAGATTCCAAATGGAGCCAGGGTCCATATGACTCCCTGACTGGCAACTGACTCGGCTGTGCCATTGAGAAAACCTCCTCCCACCACTGTGGCTGTAATTTCAAGAAGAATATATGTGAACTTGAAGGATAAAGTAAGTGGCAAGACTGGTAAGTACAGAAAAAACTATAGGGAAGTCAAAAACACACAGAGAAGGTCTTAGTAAGATAAACAGTTACACAAAAGTGCAATTTTTTCACACAAAAAAATGGTTATAATTTTAATTTCTAAACACTAATTGAAAATAACATATATTAATATATATATATTTATATAATATAATAAATAAATAAAAGTACATATTCACAAAAATAATGATGCTTTGACACCATAAAATAATGTGACATACCATCATTTCTGTTGTATATTATTGCTTTTTACTGGTGCATTTGTTGCAATAAGGTTATTATATAAAAGGTTGGCTTAATACAGGTGTCATTCACCCACCTTCTAGTATCATACTGAACACATCTGCTATATACACCAGAGTTAATCCTTATATAAAAGGATGGCCCAACACAGGTGTCATTTACATAAAACACACCCACTACAATCTTACACTATACAACAGGATGGCATATGACAGGTGTCATTCACCTACCTGTCATGGTGAACACGCCCACCACACTGTTTATCTTCCTGCCAGCTACTGCAGAGATCTCTGTGTCAGTAGAGCCATCTACAGGGCGGAATTTCTTTGCGGCAACAATTCCTACGACTAGAATCACTATATAGAGGAAGATCAACACACTGAGTCCTACAATACTGATCACCTCCATCTGTACTTAGGTTGTTGATTGCTATCTAATGTAATATATGATCTGAAAATTATGTGAAAATATCAAAATATTAAAACTAAGCATAAAAGATGTTGATTGCTCTTATTTTACTTTTATACAAACTTGTAAAATTATTATAAATCAAAGTCTGAAATATTTGACACATCACTAAAACATGTTAAGAATTCTGCTGTTTTGCATTCAATAACTTTATAAAGATTATTGCATGCACATAATCTAATTTATCAAGCTAAGATTTTACCCTAGTCGCTTCCTACAGCTGCCTCTGTAAATAACCAGGCCTACCCAACTACCAGACTCGGCACCGAATGATCCAGAATTCACCGGTAGATCAGACCACACTACCCGTTTTCAAGGTGTGTGTCAGATCGAATTACACAGTATCATACCCTGAACAAATTTTGAGTGGTGATGCAATGCTTTTCAACCCCGCTGAGAATTGTCACTATCACATCGCGTACTAGCCAAGAGCGGTGTCGCGTCTGATACTGTGTAATGCGATCTGACACACACCTTGAAAACGGGTAGTGTGGTCTGATCTACCGGTGAATTCTGGATCATTCGGTGCCGAGTCTGGTAGTTGGGTAGGCCTGAATAACATTACGTCATTTTTTAAACATATGGCATTATTAGCCAATCGCGTCGCGGGTTTGAATCACGTGGGGATGATGACGGAGACGACGCATCTTGCACGCTTTCCTGAAGACACTCTTCAGCTCACAGCTCAGCGGTATGGACGAATAAGCCAAGCGCTAAAGTAGAAGTCAATCCCGAACAACATCAATACCAATCAAGGGTAAGTTACTGCCTTCGTTTATTCACTTTCCCATCCAACCCTATTCCCCTTTTACATTCAACTCTCATGCTTCTGTCCACATTTCTCAACACTTACCTAGTATCAATTCTTATGATATTCAAATAATTGGCGGGAAGTAATCCCAACCTTTTATGATCTACAGAGTTTAGCTATAAGCGTTGCGTAATCCAACACAATATAAAATGCAATTGGCAGCTTGCGAACCGCGTGATCCATTACGTAGGAAGTGACTCCATTGCCCCATTACTTTATCCATTATCAACCCTCATAAAATGAACAAAAATTAATATATGAATATAAAGTCTTAGCTAATGATAAAAAATACTAGTAGCTGCTGTTGATAATTTAATTAGATGCAGGTGCAAAGAGACTATTCAGCTGATAAGCCTAGATATCTTTCCATGTTTACAATTCCCACCCATTATTCCAAAGATGCCCTAATATTGCATATCTAGTTTAGCAAAGGCGAACAAGCATAAATTGTAATGTAAAAATATCTGAACATGTTAATATTTTCCACTGCCAACTCAGAATCTAGTGCTTTGCTTTGCTTTGCTTTGCTTTACTTGTACACTGTACTAGTGCATATATCCTACCAAACTTCTATTCCAACTGTGAGGGCATTAGATGATATATAACTTAAATTCTCTGAGCACAATTACAGCACATGGCCAGCACTTTCTTTACCAGGGCTGAATTCATACAGAGACAAATATACTTCATTCTGATTGATTTTCCATTCTTTGAAAAACCCTACTGAGCTTTCTAGATCATTTTTTTTAATATAACTTGTATCAAACAAAATCCAACATTGTTTCTCCCTGTTATTAAATTTTGTTGGTATCCAAGCATATTGTTTTTTCATGACTAAATCAGCTAAAAACCATAATTGTTAATGTTGTATGTTCAAATAAGTAGTTTAATAAGTCATGTAAATATGCTACACCCCATGAATGATACTACTTAACTGTGAAATAAAGCATATTCCACCAAAGAACTTACTAGCTAGCATAGAGATCCTTTATTAAATACTTCAAAGCTTCCTCTACTAGTACTAGTACTTGTGTCAAGTAATAAATATTTTAATTCTATAATGGCATCTTCTTTTGCCTCCACAAAAATGCAAGTTGAATAAAAAAAAAGCTGTAATCAAACATTTCTAAGTTACAGTAAAAAAAGTAATATTTACCTGTGAAATAGGATTTCAAAGTTGGCTAGACATCTGTAGGTCAGAGCCAATCCAACTTTATACCTTATAACTAAAACCTCACTGTGCCAATATCTCATGGACACCTTCACCAGTATACTCAAGATCATGTACTGAACACTTCTTGAAAATTAAATATGTTTACATAAGAAATAGACAGCAAGGCTTGCATATGGACAGACATTGAATGAAAAGGCCAAAGCAGCAGATTAAAGAAAAGCTGAGGTCAGATTACGGGTGCATGGACAGTACACATGTTTTTATTTTTTGTGTGTATTTATTATTTTCATTACTTCTTCAATCTAGCACAATAGGTGAAATTGGCATTAGGCGTGAAGTTATAAATTAGGCAGCAAAATTCTATGAACTTTGGATAATCTGTTATTTCAGGCCAAAGATATCCTCCTACAACCCCTTTACCTTTAAATTTTTAACCCATGGAGCTGCAGCACCAATTGATCACTTACTGTGCCAACACAGGTGATAAACCTACAATTTGTCTAACACATGTATGACAGGTCTTTTAGAAGAGTCATCTACCAAGCTGTTGTGTCTACATACAGCTTGACAACCAGTGAATTTAAAATATCTCCAGTCCACCAACGAGATAAAGGTACAATTCTGACCTGAAAAAAAATTGGGCTAGAGCCCCTTAATCGTGTTTACAATTCCCATCTGTTGTACTAAGATTGCTCTTTTTATTGATTTAAATAGGTACTTTTGACATATTTACTAGGGAGAAAGACATAAAAGAGTACATATATATAAAATCGCAAACATAATTCACACAATAAAATCACATAATAAAACCATTCTAATATAAATAATAAAATCAAAGTCAGGTCAAATGGTCAAAATGTGGTCAAGTTAAAATATTGGACAGAGGAGTATAAAAAATTTTTAAAAATTTTAAAAGCTTAAGTTTAAAGTTGCACCATCTTATATTAGAAGGCATCTGCATCATAGCCTGGAGGGTTTATTAAAAATCAAATACTCTCTGTTAAGCCTGGGGACGGAGTGTACATGATGGGTAGGAGTAGAGCATAATGACTTAACAAGGTTGGCATTAAAGGTAAAAAGGCTAGCCGATCAATTAAATTACCTTGATGGATATGACCTGTAAAATGGACTTTGCCATATTGATCATGCACATACAAAATTGTAGTACAAATTGCTGGTGGCTAATACAAATATAACGATAGGGCAATTTAATTTTTCTGTGACCAATTTTTTCCCCGAAACCAATAAATGGAAAAAGTGTGTGTGTGTTTTTTTTTTTTTTCAACTGAATCATACAACTGCATTATCCAAATTGTTTGCTATAATACTAGTAATCAAGCATAGAAAAATTACTGACTTAACTGTGTACCAAATTATTCAATGTATATATTTTCCCTTACTCTGATACCCATTGTTTTCTTTTTTAAACAAAATCTCATAATGGTATATCCTTTAAGAAACTGCCTTTAGATATTAATTAAACTTCTTAATCTACCATAAGAAAAATTTACCGATTTCTTATCTTAACCAGCCCAAAGTCGGTCACTTTTATGGAAGGGGTGGCAATACAATATAAGATCTAATATGAACATTCACTTATACTCATTATTACAGCACGTACCTAACTTCCAAGTTCATTTGGTCACACATTCAAATTTATTAAATCTACCCCAACCCCCACCAAAAATTCTGCCATAATTACGTACTATGCCGACGAACTTCAGATATAAAATGGTCGAATATCAGAAAAAATAAGAATCGACAGAAGAAAAGATCCCAACTCACCATGTACCAATACTGAGAGTGCCCATTTCCATTTCGTGGTGGCCTCGTGAGTTGGGAACACGACTAGCGATGTGGCTCCACGACAACTTGCCATGAAAATTACACGATACGTGATATGGTTTAATAACCTTAGACAATTCAAAACGTCACCATTTGCAGTGTCAGAAAAATTGTTCTCCCCGAGTCAATAGATTACACATATAATCACCTCGTTGCCCATAAAGTTTACACTAGTAACAAAAACTGTGGCACGTTTAGGGCGCAGACATATTTGAAATGCCCGGATGGTCTTGCTCTTGCCATATGCTTTGACGTCAGTGGCTGTAGTCAGGCTTAAATATATGTAATTTTTTTTAATAATTTGAAATTAAACTAAGCACACCTTTCACAACATCAAATACAGTTTACTTGGTTAATATAAACCAGTGACTGTCGAACTAAATAAAATATGTATTCCTTACACTCACCACTAAGTATCAGATGGGGGATTAGCTCAAATGGTAGAGCGCGCGCTTAGCATGCGCGAGGTAGCGGGATCGATGCCCGCATCCTCCAAAGTTTTTTTTCTTTTTTTTTTCCATTTCCATGGTTCCTTTACTTCAGATCTGTACATGTTTTTCTATAAAATAAATCCTTATAATTATTTTTATTTAGCATACTAAAAAGCACACAAGGAGTGCACAACTCTCCTAATCCCCTCATTATCAAACTGAATGGTGTGATCTCCTTACCTACAGAGGAAAGCCCCGTGAAGTACCGCAAAATGATAAGTCTGCACATGTACTACAAGAAAAGCGGAAAGAGTTGAGGTCTGAAAAAATCATTGGCCCGGTAAAGAAATATTACCAATCACATCCTTATATCTTGTTAAATGCACATGTATTGTTTACTGAAAATACCCTTTCTTAGAGAAAAAAAAACATTCTGGACATTCAGGGAGTGTTTTATCAAACGAGAACTGTTTTATATTTTGTTTTATATTTTACAATACCAATCGATTGACAAAGTGTAAAAGGTGCTCTTTTGAAACATTCCATAAGCGTGGATTATAAATTGTAATTATGTTATAAAAGGGGTTTGGAAGCAATCATATTACTGAACCTGTAAGAAAAACATTCGTATGTTATTATAAACACCAAGATGAAAGCTTATTTTGTGTAGATATCGTCGCGCCAGATTACCCGCAAGAAAGGTGTCTTGTATGAGAAGTCCTGACTATTCTTTACTATAACCCAAATAATGCTTGTGCAGTGGCCTTTGCGTACCGAGTCACAACCCTTAGACTGTATAGTTATAACGCTTATTATGATTCATGAATCGGGCGCGCATTTCGAAATTACAAGCCCTGAACGTGTACTTTGTCCTATTGTAACTGCCACCTAGATGAAATAAGGGGACAAATTTGTTTCGACTGTGGACCTATGGTGATTAGTAACGAGCTCCCTGTACCGAATTATGCTGTATGCGCGTCTGACCCGCTAACGGAGGTGATATGTAGAAGATACGTTGCCATAAACACCGACGTAATTCTAAGTATAAAATACCGTTTACTTTATGCCATCACATTTATACATCCAAACACGGATTACTGAACGTATCGAAGGCAAAAGAAGGAAATTTCATGGACGCAGAGGTTGGTCAGCTTCTGTATAGAAAAAATGCAGGATTAGAAATCAGGTCGAAACCTTGTCGTTAAGGGTAAGTTAAACCAAAGACGGGTCAAAACGTTAAATCCTGAATTAATTAACAGTGAAAGTAAACTGGGGGTGTATTAATATGTGTACGTTCAAAGAAATGGCACTGTTATTACACAATTGTGTTAAAAAGCGAGCGTTAAAGGTCATGTTAGTTGAAGCGATTTTTATCATTGTCCATTTATATGATTAAAACCAAGACCAAAAACTGCATACAACATATTTTATTATAAATAATGCATCTCTCTCTCTCTCTCTCTCTTAGCAAAAGGTTCACACAAATAAATTTTACCATGAACAGAAAAAAAATTAACATATGGGGCGGTCTACGACGTGCTCAAAATTGGACTTTTGAGACAAAACATCTCGTACCGAAATGAACCCAAACTTAACCTAACCCCCTCTCTCTTCCTTTGTTTCTATATAGGAAGTAATTCTCTTCGAAGACAGTCTGGCTTATCATGAGACATCCTAAATGGTATTTCAAGGTAATATTGACAACTGACTAAGTGCACGGGAAATAATATGGCGTCTGGCGGTTTTCTGAAGCAAATACTGGATGACGACGCACTGAACAACCCTAAAACACCCCAGTTCTCATCTTCGAAACCGGTGCCCCGAAATGAAACGCATTCTCCTATTCTTATGCCCAAATCCCAGGAGCTTGCTCTTGCTACACCGCGGAGAGGGAGTCCCAACCAGAGTTATTTTAAACTGAAAGAAAAAGACCCAACAAAAGACCAGAAAGTCGAATTTAAAAACGGCCAGTTAATAATCTATGCGAAATCACCACCACCTCCTAGAGCGCCGATCCCAGCCTTGGATATTGAAGTTCCCAGCGTTTTCGGTGTTCCCGCCAATAAAAGACATTCGATCGCGGGGAAACCAAAACAAAAGGAGGGCTACAAACCAGGAATGCAGACACTGAAAATGATTTGCTATAACGAAAAAGAAATGGAACAATACGATCAGCAAAAGACCAAGCGGACTATGCCCGTAATGCTGTATAGGGATCGCAACAGGAGGCTACTGGAAGCAGAGCAGGAGCGCTTAAAAAAGAAATGCATACACGACAAAAGGTTTAAACTGTTGCAACTTTCTCTAGTGTCGCTGAACCCGGACGATGAAAAACCGTCTAAGTTTTCCAAAGTTGCTAAGAAAGTCATGGTGTTTAAGCATTTATACTCGCCGTTTTGATTTACATCAATATTGCTTTTGGAACCGGGAACATATCCCAGAAAGGGGGATGTCACTAGTCTTTCCTATTTATAAGTTGACAGCATATAAAGTGGTACTGTCATTGTTTGACCGTTGGAGGTTTTCGGGGCATGGGATGCCCTTGGACCTATACGGAGCCTTGGCGTGTAGGCAGAATCATTTGGAGCCAATATTCCCAAATTGAAACTCTGTACTATGTGAACACGACGAGTCTTTTGAAACGTACATACTTTGACACCATATTATATATAGATAGATATCGTTTCATACAAACACGACAGCGTAACCCTCGCAGTTAAGGAACAGGAAGAGTGTCCCAAAAGGGAAGTAACTTGTAGCACTATTTTCCACCTGTACGTTACTTTATCGTGATACGGAACATAAATCGTTCCTCATTTCTACAAGTATAACAAAGATACTAAGAACAATATTTACTTGACGTTTCACCATGGATAACATTACTTTAAGGAGTGTTTAGGTTAATTTTTGATAGGGAGACACGTATGAATTTAATTTGCACTATCAACAGTTAAGTGTCATTTTATAATTTTTAATTGCAAAAAAGTAATAAAAAATGCGCTATTGTTTTCATATTGACTAACTGTTGAACGAAAGTTGATAATTGAAATTAACATATACCCTTTCCGAGAACGGAGCTGCCTCTTATAGAATTATCAAAGGTAATAAATTTTGTTTCTTAATCCTAATAAATAATCTACCCTAAGGAATATGAAAAATAATAGTGGAAATGGATGCAATCAGACAAACTATGCCTACAGACACTCTCTCCCTCTCTCTCTCTCTCTCTCTCATACACCCCGTTGTTTGCTTTTACTACGATGGTCATTTGCTATAGTTAACATATAGGCCACAGAAGTTCAAAAATTGAAGCAGTATCCGTAGGATAAATATATAGAGACGGTAACAAAAACCAACAACATGAAGCAAATAAAAGAAAAAGTGATTACAATAACACGATAAAGGAGACGTTTTCATAATGAAATAATAACTTTCACAGAATGCAACCTGTTGAAAGAAAACCATTCAAACAAACGAAAAATGAAATTTAGAAGGATTAATGTTGTTGCTAATACAAAATGACAAGGTCCCTGCAAGGTTAAATGCATGCATGAAGAGAACAGTGAAACAAAGGTTTTCTGCCAGCTTGCGAATTGGCATGGCTTTGTCTGATACCTGACCAAGCGTTTAATATTAAACCAAAACAGAGAAATGACATATTCAACATGTGTCAAAGGGAATTGGAGACGTGATTGTGGAGCCTGGGATAAGTATAGCACGGCTTTCTTTGGGGGTATAAAGAGACCGTTTTTCTGGGTACGTGTTGTTACGTGAAGTTAAACCACTGTTTACAACACACAGACTTCATTAGTCTTGACGCTGACGCCGAAACAGGTGAGTAAAAACTTGAAAAGCATGATATTCCGTATATGAAATGATCAATGCTATTTGCTCAAAATTTATTTTCCATAATAATAATATTAATTAGCTAGTAGAAGATGAAACGTCAGATGTCGTGGCTAAAAACGGATTCATGAGGAGAATAAACAGATATACACTTGTATCACTTCGATAATAATAAATTTTTATTCGTTTGGTTTTTCTGAAAGTAATGCATATTGAAAGTGAATAGGATATGAGGAAGGTATAGACATCGACATAAGGAAACAATATTTACCAAGGAATATTCCACAATTCATCTTGATAAGATGGAGACTCGCTCGTTGTGAGTCGGGCCTACAATGTTGCTACAGTACGGTACCATTTATATGTACTTTGTATTGCATGTAATCCGGTATTTCTGACAGAAAAACTAGACTTTCATACTTTTTGCTACTAAAATTTTAGGTAAAAAACAGTGATGATAATCCAGTAAAGAAGAAACATGGCGTATTCTTGAAATCAACATGAAGCCTAACGCACCATTCCTAAAACTACTTTTGGACGGCGGCAGGGGAAATGAAACCATAAGCACGTCAAAACGGCAACCAAACAACAAAGCTTCGTCAAATCTCGCAGATATTCGAGATCTGAAGATTTCCACTAGATCGCTGCAATCAAAAGTCGGGCAGAGCACCAGAAACTTAAATGGATCCCAGAAAGGGTCTGAAAGAGGTGATCAGCTCGCTAACCAAGATATTGTTAAAAATGGAACTACGCAAAACTCTAAGAACACAAGGAAAGAGAGCATTGCCACAAATGGTTACAAGCTAGGTATGACAACACTGAACATGATTTGTTCGAATAAAAGTGAGATGGAACAAGTTGATAGACAGAAAAAACGTCGCACTCTTCCCGTGGGCCTCTACAGGGAACGCAACCGAAAATTCTTAGAAGAAGAAAAAGGGAATTATCTCGGTAAACAGTTCGTCTATGACAAACGTTTTCGAATGCTACAATTGTCATTAGTGCCTCTGGACCCGAGCTCTTTGAAACCTTCAAAGTTCAACAAGGCCGCAAAGAAAATAATGACGTTCAAGCACCTGTATTCTCCATTCCGTTAACGATGGCGTTTGTTTGAATACAATCACTCAGAAAACTTTTTTGACTTGATATTGTACAATGTATCGGTGTTATTAATAATACTTGTGGATCTGCACATATACTACATGATTTTTGGTAATTCCATTTGAACAAATAGCTGTACAAACCACGTACATATACGTGACTATCAAAATATGTTGCTTCCGTGTTAGTCACATGATTCCTACGCTGTGTGCTTTCTAGTTTTTTAACTAAATAAAATGTATGCATGTTTTAACATATAAAATATAAAAAAATCTCGTGCATATACTTTTACTTAATTTCCGTTTTCTGGCACGGTCTATTATACTCGCCAAAACTACATTTATTTATATTAAAATAAAATGGAATTAAGATTTTATGAATGGATCCACGCGAGATAAGGACAAAATGATCAAGCGTATACGCTACAAAATAACTGATAAGAAGTCCCCAAAATCCAACGCTCTGGAGGTCTTGTTGTCATACAGGAAATGTATTACAGTAGTAGGCCTTCATTGATAAACGCTGTGGGCACACTGGTGTATGGAAAATGAATTTATTTTCCTCGTCGCGAAATATGCATGAAAAACGAAAGCAAGTCTACAACAGTGAATATAATGGGCAAGCACTTTGCTCTCCATATGCGTCATCTGTTTATTAAATCAGGTTAGCATTAACCAAAAATCATAATTTTACTTTCAATTTCTGCATCATATGACCACCATATTTCGAAGATAAATAGTACTGTCATGGAATTGGTTATCAACCATAATCCTGAATCATCAAAATTATCAGATTTGGCCCTGTCAGTTTTATTTCACATTCTGAGCTGGAGTTAAGAATTTCATGTACCAGGGTATATTGCATAGGTTATGTAGCGGCATTCTCTGGAGTAACAGGCTGCATTCCCACAGATTTTAGATTGATCTATCCCCGTGGGGAATCTCACTAGATTACTGTCAGCTTAGCCGGCTTAAATGTCTGTCCCGCCTACTAAAAGCTGTAAGGGGGTAATTAACTTCTATGCGCGCTCGGCTGATAGCAATTTAGCGTGAACCCCCAGGGAGTAAGGTCGATCCAGATGGATCAATCTAAATCTCTGGGAATGCAGTCATAGATTTCAATTCTAAAAAATAATCAAATTAACAGGATTTACATAATGATGTGTGAAATGCATGCATTGCCTTGGAAGTAAAAGAAGTCTTACAATAACAGATAGAGTTCGTCTTCACACATATCTGTAGCCAACGTTTCTCCGTCAATTGATAAAGTTAAAACTGGACATAAAAATTAGACTGCATTCCCAAGGATTTTAGATCGATCTATCCCCGTGGGGAGTCTCACTAGATTACTGTCAGCTTAGCCGGCTTAAATGTCTGCACCGCCTACTAAAAGCTGTAAGGGGGTAATTAACTTCCGTGCGCGCTCGGCTGACAGCAATTTAACGTGAACCCCCAGGGAGTTAGGTCGATCCAGATGGATCGATCTAAATCTGTGGGAATGTAGTCTTATACAGCCAATATTGAGAAACTGTCTTAGGCCACATTCACAATCAAAGTTGATTCGCGGGCTAACAGATCCGCGGATCAAATTGGGCCGACCCATTTCAGAGCTTACCACGTAATCCCCACAGGGAATCTATTAAGGGTCTATTGGGGTACTATGTGACAAGTTCTCAAGTAGGTTGGCCATATTTGGATCTGTTAGAGCGAATTCAGAACAGCGGACTAACAACATGTGGCCGACCCACTTGAATGCTTGTTGCGTAATCACCCCGGGGAATCTATTCAGTGTGTAATAGAGAATTAAGCAGCAAGCTTTTTAGTGGGTTACCATATTTGATCCGCAGACATGTTAGTCTGCTGTTCTGAATGCGCTCTTAGTCCACGGCTCAACTCAATCTGAATGCGCCCTTAAACTATCGACCTGCATGACTGATCCTTATCACTGTTCTTAAAGGGGAGTGGCACATTCCCTTAAGTCGGATAGCTCATATATAATCTGTCCTTTCTACTTGTTTGTGAAAAATAGCGTGTGTTATCAAGGTAAGAATAATATTGGCAAAATTTAAATTATATTTTAACTTTTCACTGGTTATAGTTTCTTTTAACAGCAAGCAGACTTTTCACCACTTCTCTAGCAGTGGGTCGAGACGTAGGGTCTTCGCTCCAGCATTTCGTCATGACACTCGCCCACGCGTCACACGCAGATGACACCTTTCGGACGTCTGGACGCACTCCCTTACGGACCACATTTCTGTGAATGTCGTCGGAGGACCTCAGATTGCCAAAAACCCTTTGCCCGTGCCACAGCTCCCACAAAAGCAGACCAAAGCTGAAAATATCGCACCTGGAATTGTAAGGGCCTGGTTCATCCCAAAGCTCAGGAGCTCTGTAAGGGTCGGTACCGATGCCTTTGGTTTCGACGAGGTAGGTTGCCTTAGACTCGCCGACGTCACACAGCTTCACTGTCCCATCGCTTGTAAGCTACGAGAGATAGAATTCAAAATACATTATAATCACACGACTGCAACCAAAATATCACATTAATATTGTGGTAGGTTTTAATCTACTGAAATTAACATTTTTAAATGGTCTCACAGCTAGGGGAAAGTTATCGCAACAGACACTGCAAAACGAAAACGTAATTTTAATTTCATGAACGAGCTGGTCATCGAACCTACCCCACCCCACCCCCACCCAATAAAACATTTAATTATCGCCCGAGACTCGCCAGATAATTTTCAGCTTTGATATCTCTATGAGTGATCCCAATCGCATGAAGGTCGGACAGTCCCTCGGCTGCCTGAAGAGCCAGTCTCGCCACAAAGCGCACGCCTGCTTTAAATTCGGTACTTCCTTCTAAGTTGCCAGGCAAGAACTCTCTCGAGCTTTCAATATGGTGGCGCAGTGTCCCGTCCTCACACAGCTCCATGGCAAGGATGAGGTAGAAAATGTCCCCTTCGACATATTTTGCACAACCAAGGAAGTCAATGAAATGCCGGCTGTTGGCAGATTTCAATTTTCTGAAATGTATTTACACGGCAATATGATTTTATTATAAATGTGTGTGTGGTTTGTATAATAATGTTTATAATTTCTATGAGTTTTTTATAAAGTCAATTATCCAACTACTTCCTCAACAATAACGTGGCATCACACAAGTCCAATGACATTTCTGTTAAGTACAAATATGAAATGAAAAGCGATACATCAAACATTTTAAGCTAACGTTTTTAAATTTGTATATGCAATAAATATAATCACCTCATCATATCATATTCCCTAAAAATGTCGAGATCATCTGGATATTCGCGCATTGAGTTATCCGTGAGGCACAGTGTTTTGATAGTCTTTATAGCTATGGTGCGGTTGTGCAACGTTGCTTTATAGACGTTCCTTAGTCCGCCTATGAAGCCGGTGAGTGTCTTTTGTCGAAGGATATGCGGCCAGTTTTCAATATCACCAGCTTCGAAGTCATACTGATGGACACGGGTTGCTTCAAATATTTTCACCTTTTTGTGCAATTTTCTAACCGCCTGAGCTTCTCTTTTCAATTTGGATCCAATATTTTCAGTGATTTTGACATCATGCAGCGCGGTTGCCAACCCCAAATCTGCGTCAATCCCGTCAAGGATAACCTGGAAAGCAAATTCTTGTGCTTGGCCTGCATCCAGATAGTACTCAGAAAACTTTGTAAGGTTACTTGAGGATTTGATCAAGTCAATGTATTGCTTGGCTGTTGTTTCCATAAACGTCACTTTACTCTTTTCGTACCGCTCCCCCTCGAAATCTTCTGTTGAGAAATAAGCGACGTAGGTGATGCCAAATGCTGAAGAAACACTAGTGTAGAAGCGACTGCTGGTCAGGATATCACGGAAAAGATCCAACTTCTTCTGAAACGATTCGTGGTCTTCGACGGCCATTTGGAGCTGGGTATTTGGTGTAAACGGTTGCTCATTCAAAATGTTATTTTCAATATTTTGGAGGTCTTTAAGACAATTGTTGGTAGTATGTACAGTTTTTTCGCGAATGAGATCGCGATAAAATTCAATGCATTCTTTGACTTCTTCAGTTTTGTCAGGATTTAAAACCTCTTCAAACCGAGCTTTAATCTTCCGGCTAATTTCTGATTTCACAGTGGGCCAATCTCTCTCCGTCCCGACGGGGTCAGGGCACTCGCTTTCTTCCCACGTGGTGAAGTAAGACGTCTTCTTCAAAAGAATTTCTTCGAGTTTACTTCGTAATCCACTGCACTGCACTCGTCGGAATTGAGCAAGCTGTTCTTTCTCCCTATTTACTTTCCCTGCCAATTTACGTAACTCTTCTATGATCTGGGAAGTGCATGTTTTGTAATCCTTTGACTGTAGAGAGTGCCCGTTAGATAACTGGTTGCACGTGAACGACCCAGTCTCGAGAAGTCCCCTTAGGCATCTAAAATAAGATGCAAACATCTGTGACAACGGTTAGGGTTTTTTCGGTGTTTTTATCGTTATATCGCTAAGAAATGTGATGGATGCTGCAAAGAACTGTAATGCGACAAAGGTCTTTATAGCGGCACATTTATTAAAATTGTAATACAAATTTGCTTTAACAAAAAGATTTCTAGCTAAAACTTTTTCAATCTCCTTATCTTTTAAAAATGTTTCTCCTCATACCTGCAGTAGTAATCCAGCTTGTAGTACACAGCAAGTGAAACAACGCCACACAAAGATGAAACAACTTTGTCGAATCCCACGTCGTGTTTGCCATTTCGACGAGACTCATTGATCTGGATGTTTGAGAATAAAAACACAAGCCATCAGATTCGAAAATTGCATAAAGTGATTGTGGTATAAGATGTAAAGATTAGTGTGGCGCTCTATACATCATTCCGAGGAGGCTGACAAAAACACAGGCAGATAGACGGAGATATTGGCATCCGGAGAGGCAGGTACGAGTATATATATATATATACAAATGTATATATATATATATATATATATATATATATATATATATATATGCTTGATTACTCACCAAATACCTATAAAGACTTTCATTATTCTACATTAATAATATCATCATCATCATCGCAAAGATTATTATTACTATTATCATATATTTTCATTATTATTACTGAGACTTACAATTCATTGCGGACGTACTATAATTTAATTTCCATTGTAAAGGAACGCACAGACTGATATAAGTATTTTAAATAATAACTAATATTTGCCGACATTACTTAATGGGGCCAGCAAAAACAGAACCTTTAACAGGTCATATTNTAAAACGCTACATTGCCATTTTAACAACATCATAAGGCTGAATCTTGGGCGGTAATGGTCTACCCTCTGACATCAGGGGCTTCTAAAATAGTATACAATATTAAAGGATTTTGGATTTTGGAACAGACTACTACACATGTACTAGCACTCCCTGTGGTCAGAGAGTACTAATGATCTTGGTTTGCAAAATCTTCGACCTATTCACCTACTTGGCTGCGCCGCGGGTTAGATAAAACAAGTGGGCGCTTGATTGCAAACTGCCGTCAAGAAACCACCCAATCAAGTCAACCAAAATAGGATGACTGTGAATTATGAAGAGAAAGAACGAGATAACGGATGGATGACTTAGCAGGGAGTATGATCAAGCATCTACTTTTTGAAGAAAGCTAAAAATAAGTTTAAAAAAACCGTTCTGAACATGATTTTTTCCCCTCGCCTGTATTTTCACCCACCTCTTTCAGTGACAAAGTCAGCAATTGCTCTTCTTTCAGTCCTGGCCATTCAGTCCGCAGTTTCTGAAGAATATCTCTGTACATGCTTTCCCGTTCTTCCTCCGGCACAGAGTCCCATTTGTTACAAAGGAACAAGGCAGATCTTGGGTTCATAATGTACTCTGGATGCTCCAACTTGCTTCTCGAAAGGCGTAAAAGTCTCAGAATCTGTCAGCCAAAAATAAATAAATTACTTGATAAATGAATCAAAATAAAAAATGACGAATTAATAAACTAATATTTTAATAAAATTGACTAATAAAGTAATTAGCATCTGGTTTACAATTTCATGCTATTTAAGATTATGTGAACTTAACAAGAAATATTTTTTTTAAATATATTTTTGTTTCATTCGAACGCGACATTTACTTTACTTGGAAGTTTGATGAAACGGTATCCGTAGGATACGTGTGTTCGTAGGATTAAACATTAAACATACCCCTTCATCCTCAACGCCATCATTCGTTGCCAAATTTAACAAGTAAACGAAACCAAAGCATTTTGTCATGTAGGCCTCTAAGTTACAGAAAACATCTTCCGTTCCCGCTCGAAAACCGGGACTATCTACGAAGACCACCCGCATATCGTTTTCGTCCTATGTTACAAGAAAAAGAAAAAATAACCCGCAGCATTGCCTAGAGGCTGTGATAAAACTGAAAAAGTATAGAAAAGTGACAAAAAAACAAGGAATTAGGTTTAGGGCAGCTTTGCACGTGGCCCTTGGCCCTATTATATAGTTATGTCATATTTTGAAGGTATTTTACCTAGGGGACGCTTCAATAATCTACCTACGGATTGCATTTTCAACAAAGTGATGTTAAATTAATTTGCCAGTGAATTAGGTTTTCTTTCAATCAAGGTTATCAACAGAATAGTCGTCACGTGACACGATCTAATTTTGTAAACTTTCAACAATAAAATGCCGCCTGTGTTCTCTTTCAAAAAGGAACGTTCTAGACTGAAACTTAGTGTCGACTAAGATTGGTACATGTATATAAGGTCTAATCTCTCTAATCTCTCTAATCTAATCCAAGTTGTAACAAAGTTGCTTTCCAAAATGAATTTATGGGGTTGCTTATCTCGTTTGTCAGTCGTAAAACTTAAGACTATAGCAAGATGGCTATGTAAACTTTGATCGTAAGGCTACAAAGTAATATTTCATCAAACACAAAGGCTAATATCGCAAAGTTGACTTTACCTCTTCGGCTATCCGGGTTGAGCAGGCCAACCTCATAAAAAGTGCAATCCTTTGACGAAAGTAACAACAGGGAATAATTAAGGCAAAACTTACCTTTGACGAAGCATCGGAGTCGCCGCTGTCTGGGGAGTCTGTGTCTCTGGCGTTAATCTCTTCTTGTTCTTCTATAGATTGGTCAGATGGGGTCTTTTAAGGAAACGAGATAAAGTTGATATCCTTATAACATGCAATTAATGTTTGACAGTACGAGCTAGGTGTTATTGCATGTAGCTGTGAGTAACTGAATATCTCAAACATTAAATCAATGCAGTTTTATATAGATCATTAATGAAGGCTGAACGTTATAACTTATTAACTAGTTTCATGGAATTGCAACCAAGGATCTCGATTGGCAGTTCAAAAATAGAGAACATACAAGACAAGGCATCGTTCATCATTTGCCGGATATCAGAACATTTCTAAATTGGCGAGTGTGGAAATCTTTGCTAAGAGCGCACTCAGAACAGATGATCCACGGACTAACTGATCCGCTTACTAGATATAGCCGATCCAACTTCAAAAGCGATGCCGCTAATTCCCGATGGTCTAATCCCCTTCAAGACACTGAATAATCTATGCCCCACGGGGATTACACAACAAGCATTCAAGTGGGTCGGCCATAATTAATCCACAGACTAGTGAGTCCGCTTTTCTGAATGCAGCCATAATGACCTCCTCGACGATGTAAAGAAAATTGCCAATTTTTAACACGTTTTATCACTTAAACATGTAATCCACTACAAGAGCATTGCATTAAGATCGCTTACCTAAATTGAGAGCGGAAAAGTAGGGCCATCGTTTTTTTTTTTTTTAACAAGGGTTTGACGTCGTTTTGACGGCTTCCATCTCTTAGTATTTCTTGTCAAAAACTTCTGTTCAATTACAGTAACTTGTAATTTACCTGTACCGATTTCATACCTCGGATGCTATCCCCGTAAAGAAATCAACCGGCCAAGCAATTTCCACCCTTTCAAAAGGATTTTCTGGGTCGCTGCTGGTTTCCTCTCCCTTAATGTACTGCCTGAGTTTTCTCCACTGTTCTTCAGCGTGATCGGGCGAAGAAAGGTCGAGGTGCTCTACAAGGGCGCCACTCCTATGGTACACGTTCGCCTCGCGTGCCTGACTGTGATGGATTTCACAAATTAGCGCGGTGGTTTTTCGAAAACCTTCGGGAAGTACATTTTCGCCGATGAGTAGGTTAAGAAAAGAGCTCTTTCCTGACGATTGCTCTCCTGAAAATAAGATGCGCATTTCGTGCATACGAATCAAGTGGCGGGTTTAGGGTACCAAGAAGTCTTGGGGGTTCTTTATTGTTCTAGGTCTGGAGGAGGAACAGCAAACATCCATGTGAATGATGTTACTTGAAACGATATACTTTTCTTCATTAAGCTGTGGTTTACTTTGAGCTATTCTGAGCAAAAACCCGTGCGTTGGGGAAGCAGCAAAATGGTCAATATCAAAAGGTCGCATCCATGTGCAATGTATTTACAGGTAGGATTTTTTAGCTGCACCGAAATCTCAATCAGGTGACAAATATTATCAACAATAAATTGCAGTTTAAAACATAGCTATAAATAAAATCAACAAAGTAGATACCCTCCTGTTGACCTACGAGACTAATTCAGGATCAGCATTGTGATTATTTAACTGTTAACGTTAATTTGGATTTTTGTATCAGTACTCAGTTCACTCACCTGCCACAAGAATAGGGAACTTCTGTTGCTTCAGAGACCCGTAATTGCCTTTGAACTCTTTGAGAAATCCCGGTTTTAGACGGTTCATAAAGAATTTGGTTACTGGACTTAGATTGCGCAGAAGAGTAGAACACTGCTTGTACAAATGTTCACACTCAGCAATGACGTCTCTTGCGTTGGCTAATGTTTCCCTAGATGTATCATCCTGTTGCATATTAAAAGAAGTCAAAATACCAGATTTAGAATTTTCTGTGCTAAATGCACAATCAATGAATAACTCGTTTACTCGTTAACTCGTTTACTTGGAAGTTGGAAGTATAAAATGAAAAGCGTAGGACATTTTCACATTACCAAGTACATTTTGTATTGCATCACTTTCGTTTTTGGTTTTATCAGTATTTAAATTTGTCTACCACCATCAATGTGCTATCAGCAATTACAGAAATACCGTTACTGCACATTTAAATTTATAGGTTGCGCAGTATTAAGGCATTTCATTATCTTTACTTTCATTTCCTAACGCAGGGCTGAAGTCTTTATTTATTTATTTCTACTTCTTCTTATTATTGTTATTCATTGACTAATTAAACTGTGCTTTATTTTGAAAGCATGCATTAGACATTATTGAAAAACCAAAACAAAAGTTACCAGATTTGAAAAAAAAATGCTCGAAGCCCCTTTAAAAGATAGAGATTTATTTCCTTTAAAACTTACGGTACCAAAGCTATCAAGTAATGGCTGATGTGGCGGATCTAAGTTCAGCTTTTGGATAGCGTCCAAGACGCCAAGTTTCCCCAACAATTTTAACTGTTCTGGTCCAAAATGTTCTCTCAAATCCTGCGCTGCAGCCATTTTATCTCTCCGGGACGTAGTCACCGCTGTAGTCACTGTACGTCAGGAGCGCTGAAGGATGATGAAAACGAAACGCCTGCTGCCCGTTGGTTGAAACAAAGTCGGGACTGGGTTCCCCTTTAGTTCAGTCAGTCAAATGTTTTTACTACAAAATCAAGGCCGTTTCTCGTACATAATTCTTCACGATGATCATCTGGCTGAACTTTCTAGTCGCGTTTGTGCCGCCTAGCAAACTGGACACTTTAGATACGAGCCTCCCCAAATGACATCAGACCTTAATGATTCCCTACACGGAAGCGAACTGATAAGGAAATGTCAGAGGTATTGATTGGGAGCATAGATATTTATTACGTGTATTTAATAGCTGTTTACACATATCACTTAGTTCTAACTAGGGCCGATCTGGGTTTGAAAAACTGGGCAGCAACTTTCTTTTCTTTTCTTCTTACTCATCTTCTATTTTTTTTTTTTTTTTTTTTTTTTGGGGGGGGGGTAATTTAACAAATCCCATATTATAACAAAGTACAACGCAAGAGCAGAATACTTGTCCATCAGTTTGAAATTACTTGTCCATCAGTTTGAAATTACTGTAATCTTAGCTAGGATCGTAGTCGAACAGACAGACGGCTACATGGTGGACCAGATGTGGTAGGTCAAGTAGGGAGCTGATATCCTTATCATAAGAGATTGAAATCTAAATGATGATCGGCGACAATATACTAGTAGCTTGATGCAAGATATGAGCTGAGCACAAATTACATCTAAAATTGTATCATAACATTTCCCGTAGTCAAAGCTAGAAGGGTTAAATGAAAATTTGACCCAGTCAACAATTCATTTATTGTTTTCAAGAAAATATCCTTATGTAAGGATGTCAGGTTGTCTTGCCTAGACGAAAATAAAATACTCCCATCACAGATAAAATCTACCAGAGGTGTAAAGTACGGAGAAGACCACAAATTTCATCCAATTTTCATCCGAAGAAATGCCAATCTGTCATTTTGATATTCAATTTTCGTGTTTCGATCGCTGGTAAAAATGTGTGAAAAACAAGCAGTGTTAAAAAAAAAGAAAAAATCATCGCCGAAGTAAATGTTTCGCCTCATGCACGTTGGTAGTAAACGCGGAATAAAACATCTCATTTCAAACAACCCTTAGCATGGAAAGTTGCAAGCACAATTCTTAACAGGGAAATGATTTAAACATTTAATCTTCTAACAACTCAGGAGCAAATATCACTGTGTCGTCACTCCAAGGTTGCATTTTTCTAAGAAAAAAAATAACGGTGCCGTCATAACTCCTCCCAAGTAACCTTTCATATTGGATGACAAATTGACACAAAAAGATCAAAATAAGAAGCTTCCCCAACTGGACTATTTTTATCCTGAATGCTGAACTGAAGTAATCTACCAAAGATGTAATCTGTTCGCAACATTTGGAATGACAGAATATACCAGTTAAACCACTTATTTAGAACAAGCTACATTTATAGTTACCTATCAATGGACAAAATATTCTGCCTAAACTGGGAGTATTTTTATACAAAATATCTATCAGAATAGCCAGTCAAACAATTATAAGACTTTTATTTCTCTGTTGCAAAGATATGCTTAAATATATTAAAGTCTTCCTGACTTTAACATGGACAAGCTTTGATAACTATTTACAATTTTTGTTATAAATGCAGCACCAGTGCGAAGAGAAAGGAAAACAAATCAAAGCATTCTCATCAGCATCAAATTAAACTGAACTTGTGCTGCACAAATGTTTACTATATTTAAAACCATTACAGTTATCTGGGTATGCAATATATCAAAGAATTCATTTTACACTTAAACTTGAGCATTATGTGTTGGTATATCTTTAGTAATACTAAGTGGGTCTATCTTTGAATGCAGTCAGTAATTTTAATCAAAACCACACTGCATAAATGAAGTTAATCTTTAACCTTCTACAAACTGCTCAAGTTATCATTCTATAGTGATATGTGAGTCAAAAGTCCGATCAAACATCCTGTTTCAATTTCACAGCTTATATTAATGCATAACTTGACTAAAATGACAGTTGGTCGGTGACGGTGGACCTAACATCCTATAAAGTCAGCGTATATGAAGTTGCTTCTTGGGTGTCCCTGCAGGGGTAGAATGGCCGCTAGATGGGGTTGTGTGACCGCTAGAGGGCGTTGCTCTCCTGGATAATTTTGGAAACAACTGATTGGTGACCTTGGCTGCTGGGGTGAACAACATTAGGGGCATATCACTGAAATTCAAGAAGAGTTTCATATTGTAGTACTCTCAAGTCTATTAGTTACTTTCATTGGGACTCATACAACAAAGGCTACTGCAACTTTTTGGAGTCCTTGACAACTTTTTAAAAAGTCTCCTACTTTTGGGGGGGCCTACTTTCTAACCCTTTTTTTCAGTTTTCTCCCTAGTTAAAATCTCAAGACAATTATGAAAAATACATAAAAATGAAGTTTTACCTCCTTTTTAGCAATTTATTCTTTACTGTCATTGTCACTACTGCCACTTAAATCGTTGCACTCGGTTCCACAAGTGAAAATAAAATTACTGACAAAAATATTTTGATTCACTAATTTTTCAGACCAGTGTCTACATTCACAAAATGTTACATGTATATTTCAAGAAAGACTTACTGAATTTCATGGATATGTCCAGCTTCATTGGCACTGATAATAAATAGTGGAAAAAATAGGGAGAACACACAGCCACTGAAAAAAAAAGACATATGTATAATGTATAAATTTAAATCTTTGAAACATGTTTTTAGATTAAGCCTTCGAAATTTTTTTTAAGTTCTGGTTACTGAATCAGGGGCAGGTTGCTTGGATTACTTAGCTTAACGGGCACTGTCCAAGCCAAAAAAGAGGTTGATGACAATGACCTTTCATATCATAAATATCTTACTAGACTAGAAAAAGCATGAGAATCTTTCTACCCTAAGAGTGATACTCTGTGTGCCAGGAAAGAAGTGTTAAAAAACAATACAAAAGCGACATGCAAATCATGGTAAATTTGCACTGAAGTGCAAAAGACTGCAATTCAGCAGAATTTAAGAGAAAACAAAGAAATATCTCTGGTCAGGATATACAGTCTGCTTCTAATCATTGCTGAACTGCACTTGATAATTATCTACCATTATAATTTCTGACTCCACTAGCCTTAAAATACCACCCCATCTTCCTTGATTTCAGCATAATTCAAAAGACTTCGAGCTATCATATTTCAGGTAAATTCATGAGACTTCGAGCTCTCATATTTCAGGCTAATTTATGGGTCTCTGAGCTTTCTCATATGTTGCTTATTCTACTTACCTTATGACAAAGGAGTCTGCCATAGAGGTCATAATGGCCAAGGGAAGACCAAAGCCCACAAAGTAAGGCCAATTGTTCTCAATGTAAGCCACCCTCTTTTGAAGGGGCCAGTCTGAAACATAAGCAAATTAAATCAGACTGATGTAAAACCCTAAAAACCCAACCAGATGATTTTATATTTTTTGTCTTGTATTTATTAATCTGATTAATTTTAATTAACACCTTTATTGCGAGAGTACTCATCAATTTTTTGAAGGGGTAATCACTGACAAAGTTTCCCATGAAATGAATTACGTACACCACTTGCAATATTTTTGCCTTTCTACTAACAGAAAGCATAGACAAAAATCTATTATTATTATTATTATTATCTCATATGCCAATCTCATTTTATACACATATACTCAAACCATCATCAAAATATTTTTCCAAACCAAGTAATACTGAGATAAAAAAAATTAAAAAAACAACCCAGCATCATCTTTTTCTTCTTTCTTTTTCCATCAAACAACCTCTGCTTCAATACTACCATACTTACTCATGTTGAACCACTTGTATTCAAATGAATAGAGTGAGTACAGGAGGCACATGTGAAGTATACTGACTAGATCTCCTATCCCTGGTATCGGCAGTAGCCTTTTGGCCAGCATGCCCTGGAACGACAGAAAGTGCTTTTTACAGATATCAAAGACAAAATATTATTATTATTATTATTATTATTATTATTATTATTATTAAGACAAATGGCAGATACAACAACTGTCCCTTGAGAAAGATGGAGCAAAGACATGCAAAGATGCACATGATTTTTTAAAGCAACTATTAGTGCAATCATTTATGGTACTTAGACAATGAAAAGTTGAAACTTGATTAAGATGAAATAGTTAAACACAACATACTTTTACGGTACCTGCACTTACAAATTCAAAAATGGTGCCACCAATATTGCAGTGCTGACAATCCTTAACTAGCAATTAACATTTTCAAAGATATCAGTACTAATTCCCTTACATTATCAAAATGCCAACTTTTCTTTATGATATTTTTCTGGCATAAACATGCTATGAGTTACCTGTATTAGAAAAACACTCTCAAGTATAATACTAAACAGCAGGTCAGCTATAAGCATTTGTAAGCTGGGCAGGAGAGGTCTCCCACGGGATTTCCTGTAAGCTGCATCAGCTATATCCTGCAACAGTGAACATCAAACATACAAAACTATTGACTCCAATAACAGCCTCATTCTTACAGAATGTATGTTATTTTTCCCCTTTCTAAAATAACAGCCTCATTCTTACAGAATGTATGTTATTTTTCCCCTTTCTAAAAGTTCTTTTATGCCATAAAACCTTTTCCATTTCTTGAAGAAAGTTACTATTGGGTGTCAATACTTACCTTAAACCCCTATCTCAAAATATGAAAAAAAAAAAAAAAAACCCTCCTGAATATTGCTTGATTAAATAGTCAAAACCTTATAAATGATGCATACTGATGATCAAAGTACTTCATACCCTCCTTCACACAATTATGAAAATGAAACTTCCAAAATAAAAGCCATACCACAGGATACATACTGTAATACCTATCCCAGAAAACTTGAGGCTTTTAGATGATTTGTCAGTAAAAAGGCTTATAATATATATATAAATAGACCATGCACACATACCTGAAACCAGAGAGCATTTACAATCTTGCTGAGTATAAAAATTGGTATGATCCAGAGGGCACTGAATGTCCATGTCAAGAGAGGACCCATCCAATGCCAGATAGTGGCAGCAGTTCCACCTGGAAAATATGCACATGCTCTAAACATTATATGAACAATGTAAATATAACAACTTCTATTTAATTCACACAAAAACAACATGATTAAATGAGAAAGCACTTCAAAAATCATACTAACAAAGAACTTTAAGCTACCTTTCAGCAAACTTCCAAAAATGTTATTACTTGTGATTTGGATGGCCAGTAACTTAACTTGGGCCCTTTTCACGCTGAGCAGTATACTTTAGCAATAAAGTTTGTGCCAGCTCACTTTGAAAGACAGATAACACAATAACCTGACTATAAGAGAGAATTCACAACCAGTTGTTCTATGTGGATCAAATATGGTGCAACTGACTTGAAAGTGTGCCAAGATTTAGAGACCATTCCCACAGATATTTAGATTGATCTATCCATCTGGGGAGTCTCACTAGATTGCTGTCAGCTTAAATGGTTTAAATGTCCGTCCCGCCTACTCAAAGCTGTTAGGGGGTAATAAACTTTCCTGCAAGCTCAGCTCCCAGAAGCTGACAGCAATTTAGCGTGAACCCCCAAGGAGTTAGGTCGATCCAGATGGATCGATCTAAATCTGTGGGAACCCAGTCTTAATTGCACTGCCCCTGCTGGGACCGTGCATGGGAGGTGCCACATACATAACAGCAACTTCACCTTTGGAAATTATCAATTAATGTACATCTAATTAAAAAGTGCCAAAATGAATGGCTTGTTCTGTGCCTGCCAGTCTAGAGCAAAAGTTCTTACCTGTAAAATAATGAATCAAAAACTGCAAACACGGAAGTACAGCTCTGTTAAACATAAAAATACTGAGCTGTAAAAAAGAAAAAGAAAATTTAATAGGTAAGTTGAATGTCCATATAGAATTTATAGTTTATTTTTTAAATTTCCACAAACATTTACTTTTACTTCCTTGACATAATTCAATGCCCTTCGGACACCTTCATCAGTCAATTGCAGCACCATGTCGCCTTACATAACGAGTAAAGCTAGGACCCTCTCTTGGTGTTGGTGTTGCAGTACTAAAAGGTATATCTGCCCTTTTCATGTTTCATTTTTTTTCATTTGATATACACAGGTGTCCAATGCCAAGACATTTAATATTTCCAAAAGAAAGTTATATGTATAAGATCTTATAAGATCTCATGCCAAATAGAGTGAGAAATTCCTATATTTCCAGATACCATATATCTCCAGGCCAAGTGAAATATGAGGGCTTCAATTTTAATGTGACAATGGACATAATCGAAGCCCCAAGTAAGTGCAATCAAAATCCATGTCATGGAATAATTGACCTTAATAACTCACCTTTAGGCAACGCATCAATGTTTATTCCAGCAAGATTTAAGTAATAAGATGCAAAGGAATTTATGTGCCAAATTTTATACATTAAGGTACCCAATTGCATATCAGCATCTAAATTCCTGGGGAATGGATTAATCAAGTTGTTTCAGGCACTCACTACCCATGCTTAAACGAAACTGTGTACTCACCCCGAAGACTCCACCATTCCAAGCACAGCACACTAATATTCTGTTCCTCACACTAGGCTCACTGAAAGAAAGGGAAACAATGAGAACATTCACATCACGAAGACCACATAATCCTCTCTTTATTTTCAATGACATTCATTGAGAGACCATTAAAGGATTATGCAGTCTTCCTTTCATGTAGGTCTACCATATTTAGGTCTTGGCCTTGCTAGACCTCGGCTCTTCTCGATGTGAATGCTCTCAATGACTCTATCACATGAAGGGTAAAAGAGACAACTGCTTACTTGTTTCACACCATGTACGAAGTCAGTCACTTCTTTTAGATATTATTCTTTCTAAGTATGGCACAGCTAAAGGCGATCTAAAAAATTGCTGTTTTATGTTAATTCCATAGATAATGATTTGCTTACCACAAGCAATTCATTAGACAATTTAGGCTAACAGTCAGAGATTCATTACAAGAAAAAAGGAAGAAATTTCCACACACCAAAAGATATTTCCAGCAAAAATCTTACAGATTTATGTTAACATCATTTATATCAATAGTTATCATTTTGACTGATTATTTGGTAGATATTGATTAACTTATTATTTTCAAATAAACAGGGCATATCATTGAACAAATATTGTTAACCTGTTTTTCTTAGGCTCTCCTTTTCCAGTCAGCTGATCAGCTTTCTGTCTTTCCTCTCTTCTCATACTGAGCACCGTCCTTCTTTGCTCTGACTGCTGCTGCTGGCTCTTTTCACTAAGGTCTTTATCAATGTTGTATATCTTAAATGTTCCCACAACAGAATCCTTAAGTCCTCGGCCAACCCCAGTAAAAATTATTTTTAGACTGTCCGCCATGTTTTTACTGCTTCTGTATTTTTAGGAAAACAATACAATATTGTACATTTGCTACTTTAGTAGGTTCTACTTTCTAGGGGAAGTAATACTACATTGTCACAGCAGTGTTCCCGAGATCTTCTTCACATTGTTTTATGTATGTTGTGCCTTCATGTGCTTTACTTATCTTCACAACAATGGACTCCTAAAACGTAAATAAAATAAAATAAGCACTAATCTACTGGTTATGTTTTTAAAAACACATGCACATACAAATGTCATATCAAAATAAGTCTGGTAATAGACAAGAATTAAAACAAGCAATGATTTTTTTCAAACATATTTTGAAATACCAATAAATAAAGAAATGTGATGGAGTGTTTAAAAGATTAGGAAGTGACATAGAATTTTTTATGCTTTACTTTTACACAGTTGTACAAAGATTGGGTTTCATACTTTAAAAATTCTCTCTCTCTCTCTCTCTCTCTCTCTCTCACGCACGCACGCACGTACACACACACAACACTGTTAACCTGCATGGCTAACCGTTATATCACTTTATTCTACATTTTCCTAAATTCCAGAATGCAATGCAATGTTGATGGCAATGTAATTTTGAATGGAAAACCTCAACTCTGCTTGGGACAATATAAGAATAATTAACATTTTTGTATCATTTATTTGACAACGTATCGTCAAGATTATCAAGAGTCTATGCGTGTGGGTGATATGCCTCAGCCTAAAATACCAAATTTATATAATCAAATACTCCTCGATTTTACTAAAATTCACTATCGGACTTACCTGAGAAAAACAATTGCTGATTGCGCATATTTTCTGCGCTTATCGCTTAAGCTACCAAAAATAATATCCATTTATTGAAATAATCTACAAAGACATTGGATTTTACTTTGGTCAAATGAGCCATTAGAAGAATTTTATCTGTATTATTTAGGGATACATTAAGCGAGTTGACAGCCAACATATTTTAAAGCTGTAAGCGGGTTTTATGCGCAGCCGCAATGTGTACAGTGTACCGCTTCCGGTTTGTCGAGAAGAAAAAAGAAAAAGATTGCAAAGATAAAATACCATATTCTGGAAATAATATAGACTGTCAGCGGCAGTGATGAATCCCGCAGCAGTCGCAGTACCAGTTGAAGACACGCACGGTGATGGACGATGGATGAGTTTGGTAAGTTCCGAAGGAAAAGGGCGGGACACGTGTAATATAGGCCTCTCTTGCAGCTTGCTGTTACATGCCCTAGACCCAAGCATAGTTTATGAATATCAAATTCAGGGCATTGGAATGATAATTTATATCATTTTTCAGTGCATATTTAGATACCCACTCTACTCAGTTCTTAGCTGTGCTTTGTAAATGAACAGTTTTTATGCAATTATATTCCTTACCCGTATAATGAATCTTTGAGTACGGGTACTGGGATTCTAAGTGGGGTAATTTATTCATTATTTATAAGAGTATTCTGCAGCATATTAAAAAACACAAAACAAGAAATGCAAGTGGAATATTCATAAAAAATTACCCATTTATGAAATACTAATAGTGAATTTTCTTTTTTCATCATGATCGTAGACTATGTAAAATTGTGACAATTTACAGGGTACACAACACTATTCAATCTTCACCTGAATGTGTAATTTAAATTGGCCTTATCAAATATATATGTAAAAACATTCAAATGTTACTGCAAAGGAAAATGTATACATAAATATTTAATCAATTTATTTATATGACTGAGATATTGCATACTTCAGCAGTTCTATAATATAAGTTTTAGTTAACTTATATATAAGCTGTTGTTTTCAGCACAACCGTTTCAAAACTGAGACCAAAGACAGAGAACCAGATGTGCTGATGATTGGGGACTCCTTGATCCAGCAGCTTGGAAATACTGAGGTAACAAAAGGACTGTACATTTCTGTCAGATTTTGATTATGGACCCATTGAAGACACCATTTGGCAAAAAAATAAAACGTACAAATATAAAATAAAGAGGAGCAAGAAGAGAAGGTTACATTTAAAGTCACTTTTTAGTACTATGAAAATGGGGATTATTACTTAATTTTTGTTATGGAGTCAGTGACCTTTAAAAAATGCCAATCATGGAATAGAATGATCATTTTTGTGTGTGTATGTGTGTGCAAAACCTTTAATTGTTTAATCTGTTTTATCTGCTCAGAAAATTAAATGGACATAAAATGCCAAACACTAGCAATGTAAAATTTACCCAAGCATTATTTTGTCACATCTAACACATTTCAACTCTACCACAGCTTACAGAGAATGATATATTTGCTTCTTTGTTATATACATGTGCATCCATTAATATGTGTTTTTTATCATCTATCCATCTTTTCATTGTATTTTTCATGAACTTTTGTAATAATGCACATTAGCTTGAAATGCTAAAAATGTCATAAATAAGTGTGCATACTGTTGGTCAGTTTGAATATATTAACAGTTCTCAGTGTTCAAGTTCACAAAAAGTTCAGCAATATCTGTAACATTTGTAGATGTGGGAAAAAGATGTTTGTTCCCCTTCACTGTCTCAACTTTGGCATTGGTGCTGACCAGACACAACATGTACTGTGGAGGCTACAACACGGAGAATTGGACAATATTAATCCTAAAGTGAGCACAGTTCATTTTCAAAAANTTAACAGTTCTCAGTGTTCAAGTTCACAAAAAGTTCAGCGATATCTGTAACATTTGTAGATGTGGGAAAAGATGTTTGTTCCCCTTCACTGTCTCAACTTTGGCATTGGTGCTGACCAGACACAGCATGTACTGTGGAGGCTGCAACACGGAGAATTGGACAATATTAATCCTAAAGTGAGCACAGTTTATTTTCAAAAATGTAGAATACCTCATTTGTAATATTTTATAAATTTTTAACAAATTGCACATAAATTGTGAGTTAGTAAAATTTGAAGGAAAAGAATAATTCTGTATGAGACTTAACTCTGATACCTCCCAGAATTTTCCAGTCATAGTCAAATATTATTGCGTTGATTTGGGGTGAAGGAATTGAGCAGAATGGAGTGATTTTGTTTCATCCGGAAGATTTCTATAAAGTAAATACTATTCCCACTGTGATTTCAGATAATAGTATTACTGGTAGGAACAAACAACCATGGCCACACAGCTGACCAGGTGACAGAAGGCATCCTAGAAATAGTCAAATGTATTAGAGACAAGCAACCACAAGCTCAATTAATAGTTATGGTAAGAGATCTAAAATCCTAATTTATTTTTATTTATTATAATTTTTTACATAATTACGACTTATGTTGCGTAAAGGGGTATTTTTCATGAACTCTGTTGCTTTCACTTTCAAATCTTTTTAGAAAGCTACAAACAAGTTTCCGTATCTTATATTTCATATAGGGTATACCACCAAGGGGCCAGCACCATAATCCCCTGCGAGAGAAAATTGCCACTATAAACACAGCTCTTGCAGAGAAACTTTCCAGTCTGGTGAACACCCAGTTTCTCAATGTGGACCCTGGGATTTTCCTTAACCCTGCTGATGGGTCTATATCAAGACAGGACATGTACGATTATCTTCATTTTACACAAAAAGGGTATCGAAAACTTTGTGAACCTTTGCTGGAAGAGCTTCAGAATTTGTTGAAAAATTTTGTCAAGGTGGAAAGCGACATGGGGGAAGTGGAAGGTGCTGCTGCAGAATAAACCAGGAAGAGTTTGTCAGGAACTAAGATGTTCTGCTTTTTTTTTCAGTGCGTTGTATGAGGTTAAGTCACTGTAATACAGCAAAACAGTTGCTGGTTAGTAAAAATAAATGTTGATGGTGAAAAAGTAATCCATTTGAAAGTTAATGTACAGCTTTCAGTGTATGTACAACCCCTGAACTTTGCCATCACTTACTCAGACTTGGAACCATGGACAATTATGCAACTCCAAGACACAAAAAATGCATTCTAGGCTTTGTAGTTTTGTTTTTCCCAGATGTACAAAATCCATTTTTTTATTTATTTATGGTGTATGTACATATTTATTATGAAATGGGTATCAAAGCATAAGGTCCACTTGCACCCCTCCGTAAAATAATACATTAACAATCAAATATTCAGGTGTGTTTTAGTTAATTCAGGTGCTTAAGTCTGATAAAGTAGGTGTGAATTGTAGTTTAAGTTAATAGATATTTACTAGGAAACATTTGTTAAGCAAATAAACAATCATTCTTTGAAGTTATTTATCACAATCTGTGTATTTCGTAATCTGGTGAAATCAGCCACAAGACTGAATGTTTAATTTTATTTTAATTTTATTTTTATATTAATTAATTTGGGTCCAAGAGTGTGGGCACACGTAGATAAAATTGGCAGTAAATGGGCGGACTATTGTTGCCAGACATGTTTGAATGAGATGTGACATAGGCAAGAGTAGTTTTCTAATCAGGTGATGTTATTTAGTAAGCTTCCATTTAAGTTTGTAGTGATGTGAACTTTTTTCCCTTTTGTGTCGTGGGTCCCCATTGTGATAACATTTGCTGTGAAAATAATTATGAGGAACTTAAGAGTGTGTTACTCAACATGAGAATGTTACTGGTTATACACTTGTACGGTGTCATAAAATGTAGATAGTGTTGATTGTGATACTGTCAATGCTAATTGGTAACAGTTAACTCGATTTAATAATGTACAAATCATGTTCATTAAAAAGATGCAGATAATGATGCTGAAAACTGCTATCCTTTTATGTAACTGACAAGATGTTAAACATTTTTCTACATCAAAAAGTACTGAACATGGAGTTTGGAACATTGTACTGTAAGTTGTCTGCATATAATGCTACTAATATTGGTTCCTTTCAGGTAAATAAGTTTATTAGTAGGTTCATGCATGCGCACACACACACACACACACACACACACACACACACTCTTGGATGCTTATTTCGAAAGTGGCATCTGGGTCACTGAGCCATTCTCTTCTCTTTCTCGTGATGATGCTGTTAGATCTCGTTGGTGCATAGTTTGTGCCACAGTGATTTTATTGGTATTGTTCAAGGACATACAGTGTACTAGTAAAAGCTGTTGACATTTTCTTTGTGCATATTATGTTCCCCTGCATGGTAATTACTCTTTGATTTGAAATTTAGAATCAACCAAGACATTGTGTGAAGTTAAGAATATCTGCTGTACATTTTATTTGATTGTGATGTTGTTATGATCATACAAGCAACTTCATTTCAAGTGGAAGGTTATATTAGAAATGTATGCAATGAAAAGAGTTTTGCAAATTACAGTACAAGGCATTTTTATGCCCCAAGGGATTCTATATAACTTTTTTTTTCTCTACTAGAACTCCATGAATCATTTTGGTGATTTATCCCTATTGCTTCAAAGTATACTTTCAAACATATGTAGAACTTTTGTCCAATGTCCAGTATAAATTGTGCTTGATATGGAGAGTAGTACATATAACATGATTGGGGTATGATCAATGTATATAACTGTTCATTGTAGTATTTATTACATCCCTTTTTACATTGTCAAATTTTCATTTGATCATAAGGGTTTTTTATTAACCACCCCAAGCTGCTCATTTATTACACATACAATTTAGTAGTTATTTTGCTCAGTAGTACAAGTAAACGTGTAATATCCAATTGTAGTATATCTTATCTCAAGGAATTAACGTTTACTAGCCTTACCATATTAGATTATGTTTTCTAGTCACAAGTGTGTAGGATAAAGCTTACTTTCAATAGAAATAAGACTTGTTTCAGGTACAAGTCGAATAACAATGCAGTAAATTGCAGTGAGTTTCGCTGACTGTTGCTTAATATATATATATATATATATATATATATATATATATATATATATATATATATATATATATATATATATATATATATATATATATATTGTGCATAAATGTGAACTTATATCCTCACAATAATATCCTCTAAAGCAGTAGTTAGTCTGTTTTTCTCCTTGTACTCTATGTTATAGGGTTGTACACTTGTTTGATATTGTAGATATTCTGAATACGGCCATCTGCACCTGGACGAAATAAGGCCATCTGCACCTGCACTAAAACATTGGTATAAAAATAATGCGACCAAGATAATACTACTAGGTTGCCATATGGTTTTTGTCATTTTTCAAAGATTTTTTTTTATTTATTTATTTTTTTTTTTTTTATTATTATTATTTTTTTTTATCTTGGGATGTGACACCACTCTGCAAGTAGAAAATTATGAAGTTCTCATTCAGTAGCAGTTTAGAGCAAAGTGCTTTTCTTCTCACGTATGTATGTATATATATATGATATCGGTCAACAAATATTATTGTAATTTTACGTGTACAGTGTAATAAGTTATAATTATTGCTTCAACAATGGGTCGGAGGACGGCACCTGTGTTTAAGGCGTCTCCTTTTTCATTATGTTTAAAAAACAGGTGGTAAATATTAATGATTAGATATTACTCTTCATAAAAGTCTATTACATGTGTAAGTAAAAACGTATTCAAGGATAGTCCTAAATTTCTTTTTATGCAGTTCTTGGTTTCCCGTGAAGTTGGAATAGTTTAACTTAGCGGGGAGTACCTGTGCCAGTATCAATGCTATTGTAGATTAACATTGTACGGTGAACTGATCGTAATCACACGCTTAACTTAGGTACTGCGATAGGCCGCCATAGTATGTCTTGAAATGCACCTTAACAGTTCACGTATAAAAAAGATGCATACGTAAATTTGAAAGAGAACCAAATGTAGAACTCCGAAGTTTTTCTTCAAATGTATAGATTGTTTAGACGTGCTCAATATTTTGTTTCTCCGTGTATTTGGAGTGCACTGGTGCTGCTGTGTCGAAAATATGATCCTAAATAAACAACTGTGAAAATCTTTGTCAATGTTTTTTCAGTGAAGCTTTTTGAATCGCCCAACATATTTCTATCAAAAATTTTCAAAACGTGTTGTCTGTGTAAGGCTGGGCACTGTGGGCTCTTGGGATAACGCGATCTTTGCAACGGAGATTCCCAGATTCTATGCCTTTAACATTGCACATTGAAAAAAATTAAACGACTCCATGTTGTGACTGTTAAAACAGATTATATATTTTGCTAAGCCAAAAGTTACATGGTACGATAAA